CCCGGTTCCATGAAAAGGAAAGCAGACTGGAGACAAAAACTCTACCTTAACCGACATTTTCATGTTCCGAACATTTATAGTTCCACGGGTTACGGTTTTTATTTTCCCAAATAATTCCACTAACCGACAAACACTAGCGATGGTATCCATTTTGTGGCGGTTTTACTGCTAGCTCAATGTATGTTATACAGTACTTTTGTCATTGCCTCTAAATTGGCACCAAATATAATTATTTATTTGTTTACGCTTTTTCGAAGGAACATATAGCACGAATCAGATTGTGTTCGTGCTGAGACTTGCATTTGTATAAACTAACAGGTTGAGTACATAATCCTACGGTTTGAATTAGGATATGTAACATACTACTCATTCTTGTTGTTATACTGTTGCTTACGCGCAGCTGTGCTTATTAACTTTGTACTTTTTCTACCACAGCCTTAAGTCTCTAATGAAAGGGTTCCTTGGGCCTTAAATATGCAAGTTAATTATATTCGTTCGGTATTTCTTTTAGGATAAATACATAAATTTTTATAGTTGCGGCGTCAGGAGGGCAGTGTTGTCTGAAGAACACGGGAAACGAAGGACTACCAACTCATAGGGAGCGTGCAAATTAGGACAAAGAAGCTAGGGAAGAATCTTGGTAATCTCGGTTACCATTTCAGGCCGATGAAACTTTATATGCTTCCTCTAAACTACCGCTTATTGCGTGGTGAGTTCATCCAGACGTTACGGAATGTACGGTTTCGTAAGGGTGATCAGGAGTTCGATAACTTTCGTAACTAGATTGAAGCGAACCACCTGCACCATCATCCTTTTTAAACCGAAGACTCTCTGCTGCAGGAAAGTTTTTAAACACTATTGAATCATGTATTTTGGCCTCTATGCTAATTTTCTGAAAAAAAGACTATATCATCTAAATCAAACCATAATCACTGCTAACCAAAACAATGGTTCATGAGCTCCTGGACGAAAACCTTTTACTCTTGATGCAATTAATTGTACTGCTTTATGCTTTTGCTTTATCCATCGGAGCTAGCTTGGGTTGGCCATTAAAATACGGACCGGTTTCACTGAGGTATACGGTCATGGTTTTTGGTTTTCTTTGATAGTTCTCCTATCATTTTTCTTAACAACTAACTTGTTATTTAATTCTAGATGTAACATTTGACGATATTATTTTTGTGCGATGTTTCTTTCAAATCATACGGCTTGTGCATTGGCCGCGCTTCCATAGACTAACTGGTATCATAGAATTATTATTTATTTAACATTTAATAGTTGACTTTACTGCAAACTGTGAATGAAGGAATACAGGATTATACGAATATGTCTATGTTCCTTTACTAATTCATTCTACGAGCAGTTTGATTTCACATGACCTACACTGTCAGGTGTGAAGGCCAGCACACGGAATCAAACAAGAGATTACTATTTAAACCCGCTTCCAAAAAATTCGGTGAACTTTCTTCCGAGAAAGCATAGAGCACTCTGCGTATTTTATGCTACAGGAATAGAAAATTTAATTTAAACCTGTCGAAATACAGCATGCCGAAAAAAATCCAAATGTAAGTATCTCGTTCCTATAAATTCTTGCTATTTTCGGGAATGTCAAAAAATTACATAGTTCGAAACAATGTTTTGGCATGTTAGCCATAATAATTACACGGTACTTTAAAATTTTTCTTGCAGTTTAATTTATTAAGTAAGATTAATTTTACACATAAGGACGTTAACTTATGTTAATACGGATAATAATTATTATCCGTAGCATTTAAATGCTACGGCAATTGCCGTTAGCTTAGAAACCTACTTTTCAGAGCACGTATACGCGTATATGAACATCCAACACATGTGTTTGTTATACGGTTTCTTGAAGAATAATGAAAATGGACGATATCCAGATAGTTCATAGGCCTGAAATGTCACGATTATCTCAATGGACTTGTGATGCAGCCTGTTTTTCGGTTTGAGAGTGTATTGCTGTAAACAAAGAAGTATGTAGGTGGAAAAGCATTTCTGTCTAGCAAATAGCACAGGAGCTGCCTCTAGAGCTCTTTATTAAATCACAACGAGAAGGAGATACGAATAACTATAGCCAATTTGGGGCCAGTGGGTCAAAATTGATCATAGTAAAACGGTACATATTTAGTCAACCTAGGGAGCAGTAGACATAGTTAATAGTAAAGCTGAGATCATGTTAATCATACGAGGGCTTAAGTCTCTCCTTAACTCAGGCAACATATAAAGTTCGTATGCAATATTCCGAAACCTGCGTATTTTAATGTATTTTATAATAAGAGCAATATACTCCTTTTGAAAAGTTTTCCACCATTAGTTATTTTTGACCTTTAGATGACAATTTTTTAATTACTATTTTAGAGATCCAACTGCTGAGAAATATGAGACAATCTATTCAGTCGAAACGAATTCCCTTCCAGTGTTCAAACAATGCTTTAAATTCCTTTTGTTTTTTCTGTGGATTATACTAACGGGTGGAATTCTTGCAATCATCAGTTTATTTATTATCGGTGGAGGCACAAGAGAAGCAGTAAGTAACTTTCTGGTCTCTGAGATCTGCAATATCAATAAGGCATCGTTATTTATTAGGTAAAAAGAAAGTATTTTAGCAATTAATTAAGTATATTGTTAAAGCAGTAAGGATGCAGAATCCTTCGAAAGCGCCTATGGATCCGACGTGACAATTCCATCGACACGCAGATTCGTGCAAACCGGGCATCCATCCGGTCAGTCCTCCTCTATGTATGTGAATGCTGGGCTGTGCGCGCTGAAGATGAGCAAAGACTGGAGGTCTTTGACAACGATGCCTGAGAACCATCCCGCGAGTTAAGTATAGCGACTTCACCTCGAATGAGACATTCCGAACCCGCTGCACTCGTACCGTGAGTAAACCTCAGGCCATTCAAGAAAGGCGACTGACGGGGTTTTAACACGTTCTCCGTTGTCCATGGCACAAGCTTAGCTATGCTTCCTTCGATCCGGTGCCGCAGCCCACCTGGAGTCGTCGAAGAGGGGGGCAACTAAAGACCTGGCTCAGGACATGGAAGCAATTCTTGGACCTTCTGTCTTTGGTCTCCGTCGCTGGAGAAGAGACTGCTTGGAGCTCTTCAGCTCGGCTGCCGCCAATCGTGACGCGTGGAGAAGTACCATCCGTGACATCACTGAGGCCAGCTAGATCAGGCATAATCACATCTGTAACAAATACAAGAACAAGATGCGGAATCTGTGTTTTACCTTAATTGGTTACTTCTATATATCAAATTAGGAAACATAAAGTGATGCCTTCTGGCTTACCCTCCATTATACTGTTGAATTTTAAAAACAAGATAAAGCATTCAGTTTCATGCATCTACTATGGGAACGTATTAAACTTCACAGGTCTTCATTGTAGTATGCAATAATTGTCGATGCTGGATCAACTTCATCCAAAATATCGGTTTTGAAATGGCTAGATAGGCCTTTTCACAAAAATGAATGGGTTGAAGAATTAAACTACACAAGGACAGGTAAGGTTTATGTGATTTAGATTTTCAATAAGACAGAATTCCATGATCTATCATACATGCTTTATGAAAGGAAAACAGGATCTTGAAGTTAAAAGTAGAGATTTACAGGAAACATCAACAATCGTCTGCACAAACCAAACTATTAAGTGGCTTTAAGGCCACGCCACAATTTTTCGGTATAAGGTTGACACTTATAACAAGATGATTATAAACCAACCCTGCACAATAAGAGGAACACAGTTTTACTTTTACTGGACTCAGTCTGATTAAAAAACGTTCGGCCTGTCAAAGTGCCTAATCGTTTGTCAGATCTCCTTCTATGGTGAACAGTTAAGGATGAGCTACTGGTGTTAACTAAGAGCTTTAACGTTTTGAATACCTGTTTATAATATTTTTTACGCTTCATACACAGTCAAGTGAAAGGTATTAGATATCACACAAACTCTCTAAGATGCCAAAGTCGATATTAGTTGAGAAAATATTTGTTTACCGTAAATTATGTTGGTTGTCCTTTCTTTAACTCAGAACCCGGAATATCAGCATACACCGCGAATCCTTCAGAAGCTTCAGAAAGACTGGTCCCTACAATTACGGAAACTCTTTCATACAACGTACCTCTAAAAAAAGCCCCAGAAACCTCACTATATCTTGCGGCAACAGCAGGAATGCGATTACTTGAGTGAGAACTTGTACCTTTTGTTAAGCAGGAGCTATGTTTTGGTTAGGTACACACAATTGCATTTAAATTACATTGCTCAAATAAAAGGTGGTTTACATAAAATATTTGCTAAGGATAACTTGCATGGCCACCTACACAGGAACAGAGGACAGGAATCACCAACAATACATTTGGCTTTACGATAAACTCGGGAAAATTAGGTTTAGAATGAAGATGAGAGTTAACTTTAAGATAAGGTTTAAGGTCAGAGTTGGGGGTAGTCGGAAGTATCTTAAGCGTAAAGGTTTTGGTTGTTGCTTACTGTAAAGGAAGGGCCAGGGTTAAACTTAATCTTGTTGTTTAGTTTTGTGAGCAAGAAATATTTACCCTTCTTGAAATGTATTTGAAGACTAGCTATTTTAAGTGGGCGGGGCGTCCTTTAGGCAGCCATAAGAGTCATTTTTACCCGGGATTGTGCTCAAATGTTTTACCAGGACCTGCATTTACGTCTTTCAAGTGAAGTTTAGATAAGGTACTGCTATGCAAAACTGACAACACGTTTCTCAGAAAATGACAATATCTAAATACGCGTAAATTAACAGTAATACACTTTTATAAAGTGCAAGTTATTTTCCTTTTTCACCACAGATGACGAATTTCCTGCAGGATGCAGTGGTTACTTCTCTTAAAGCAGATTTAACAGAGCGTCATGGCTATTTTATAATGTTCAGCTTTTTAATAAAAACAACTGGGCACGAAACTGTCCTTTCAGGGTATGTATCGTTTATGTGTATATTCGAGTGCTTCCACGGTGTAGATATTTTAATTGTTTCCTTTGGTCTAGCCTCAACCACCCGCTGAAGGCGATCAAAATTATGGACAGTTTACGTCAGACTCTGCCTAATCTCAATGCAACTGTGCATAATATCTTTTCGGATATTCGGATAATTAGTGGTAATACAGAAGGACGCTACGGATGGGTTGCGGCCAACTACCTGGATAAAAAGCTAGGCGATGTAAGCGCTATTTGTTGACTTTTAGGAACAAGTTAATGAGACTATGATTCCTCATACTTTGTCATATCTCTCACTTGGAAGACAATTGGCCTTTTATAGTACTTGATTGACTTAGCAGCCTTAATGAAATTTAGAGAGTGTTTCTGAAAAAACAATATAGCTTTGCGAATGACAATCCGAACTATAAGCTAGGTGCAGAAGATAATTATCAATATAGACAAACCTTTATAGCCGGAGCACGTAGACCACATAAGTTTAAAGCTTAGCTTTTGACGTAGGCAATTGGACAAAAAGGATGAAATTTCAAAACTCCAACTGTTTTCCTCACTGACCTCGTAAAGGAAAAAGTATTTATTTGTGCCAGGATCGGCAAGCCTTATACTACCATCATATTCCCGATCTCAACCGGCAAAACAACGAGCCCTTGGTGCAGTGGTAGAGTGTTGTACTCCATAACCAAAATCTTGGATTCGAATTTCTAGTAATCCACACCTGGGATTGGGTACGATTGGCTGACGACGGCTAATAAGCCAGAAATGACCATTCCAGTCTCTCTTGTCTTTGTCGGCTCGACTTTATAGAACTTTCTGTTAATGCGCTACAACCTACCACCGGCTGTCGCTTTTTTGTTGGTTAAGTAAAAACAAAGCTCCTAAGGTGTCCTACGGATGTCGAACAAACTTTGGTGTACTTTGAATGATCATGCTGATAGCAGATTTTAATTCTTTCCAACTGTGTATTTTTTATGTTTAATACAGCCTTCAGGCTCGCCACCGGAGAGCGAAGACGAAATGATGGGGATGCTTGATCTTGGCGGTGCCAGCACACAGATTGCATTCGTTCCGGCGAACGGACAGCCGGCGCCGCACACCTTGTCCCTCAACTTGTTTGGTGCTACCTACGACGTTTACAGTTACAGTTTTCTGTGTTTTGGGAAAGAAGCTTTCATCGCACGCTACTTAGCGATGCGGATCGCGCAGACGGCCAATATTACAGAGGTATTTCACGCATAACAATGTTGCACCATGAGTAGAAAGATTTCAAAGAATTGCCTGAAAACTAGTTCAGTAGGGCTTAGCAGTTGATGGTGTTTTAGGTGTATTAGCCTACTAAAAGTAAGTATTATGCGTCACAGTAAAACACGTCTTTTCTAGGAATGTATGAAATTGCATTCGAGGCATAAAGATTGTGACTGCAAACCTTAATAAAATTCCAGATTTACATATGGCTGAAAATTTCAGCTCAGTTTGTAGGAGTTTGTGGTCTGACTGAAGTATTTGATACAATAGTATCAAGGGCCTTCTAGTCTCTGAGATAGCTCCATTTTAATGTACTTCCAGATAAGCAAATTACGGACGGATTCTGCATTTTATATCCGCATCAGCTGGGCTTCGAGAAGATTTTTATAAGTTACGAAGCTAATCATTAATAAGACTCCACATTATTCATACATCTGTAGACTTTATCAGATATATTTATTTAGAGACGTTGGTTGCTGAAAAAAGTGGATAAAATGTTGGTAGTTGCGTTAAACCAGATATTTCCACTGAACTCATATCAAACGAGTATCTGTATGACGGAGTGGAAAAATCACTGCTGAACGCGAGTCTGATTCAAATGAAATTCTAAGATCACTACAGTAAATAAACATTCTGGAATGTGAGGAAAGAAGCTGAGTAAGATTCGATATGCCAAAGGACGAATTAGGCAGCTCTGGCCCCAGAGTTTAAATCAGACTCAGGCCATTTATATATACTTTACCAAAGACAATATCCGGCGGCTTAATGCGAAAAGTTGGACATCGAAACAAATTTCGCTGGAAGTACTTTGTAGTTTAGGGCTGGTTCGCTGGAACGGCCACATAGTCTGGCAGGATCTATTAAATTTGAGTCCAGTAGAACGGGATTCAGGAAGATGTAGCCTATTCTAAACAAGACCCTGAGGACAAGATATTTAAAAAAACTGACAAGAAGTAGCAGAGTTCACTCCCCTTTAAATAAATATCTTTCTGGCACTAATACGAGTGATGCATCATGGCCAATAAAAACAACAAACAACTTCCTTATCCGCTGAAGCATAACCGAAACAGTGTCAGGCAGCATCTTACTTAAATTGACCATCTAATTGCATAGGGCAAAATATACAGCCCCTGCCATCTTGCGGGTTACCAGGAGAAGATTGACACGGGTGAAATATTCGCACCACCCTGTGTCACAACAGAGGTTGCGGAGGAATTAACTGGACTTGAAATCGTCCCTCCAGAGGTACGTATACTTTATGAGCAGTCAGCAGTATTTTATTTGACGCCAGCTATCAGGTGTTCCAGTGAGATTTGGCCCACGTACTTTTATTTAAAAGTACAATCGCTGTCATTGTTAGATGCAAAATAAAATCACATACTTTAAAGTCGTAGGACCTATGAGTCAGAGGTTACTTACCTTTGCTTGAGGAGCTTCAAATTTACCCGACAATAAAACTTGACTAGGGCTGTTAAACTAACGAGAGTCGGAGTACTTTTGGTCACCAACCATTATTAATCAATGCACCGCGAAATAATTTTTAAAGCGCGCAAACCGCTTCTATAGATCAAAAGAAACCTTTCATGCATCCCACAGGACATATGATTTGAGGTAAAAAAAAACATCCTAAGTTACAAGCTACCCATTGTAGCTCGTGGCTTATCTACGGTAGCTGTTGGAGGCCAAGTGCAGTCATTCAATAAGTTCAAGAGATTTATAAGCTAAGGACACATCTAAATTTTGGAAGTCTAGGGCAACCAGAAAAATGAGTGCCAGCTTTAGCTTCTGTGTGAGGACAAGTGAACTTATTAATTCAAAAAGCAAGGATGTCTCATTGGTGTGAAAATATAAAGAACTAACGGAACATCTACCAAGTTTCATCTTTTGATAGTATGGAAGTCAGTTTTATTAAACTAGAGGATATGCAAATTGCACCTGTTGTCCAGGTATATTTTTTGAATAAAAAACCTCATTACAGGACTTACAACAATCGCTGACCCTTTTGGGTACCGGACAGCCTACGGAATGTCGTGCGGAGATTTCAAGGCTTTTCCCCATCAGAGCATGTTCATACGATAGCTGCTCCTTCATGAACGTATCCCAGCCACTACTTCGGGGGAAGTTTTTTGTAAGTGTCGATTATGCTCTTTTTAAAAAATAATTTAAGTGTAGAGTGTACTAGAGTAGAATGCGTGCTTTTATGTTGGCGTTGCAAAAGCTCAAAATCTGCATTTCCCTGCAAAATAGGCATATCCAGGGAAAAAAGAGGGAGCTACGGGTGAAAACCGATACAGTAGTCGCCGGTTATTAAGCCCACCTCGGGCCCAGACCAAATTGGGCCTTAATAAGCGACTGGGCTTCTTAACCTTGGGCTTACTAACCGGCGACTACTGTAGTTAACTTAAACATTTTGCGATCTAAAACAATCGATTCAGGACATTTCTGAGTATGTACAGTCTAATTATCAGATTATCGGTATCTAAGGCTAATTTTAAAAAAAGTAGTGGAAACATTAGTATTTGAAGGTTTTCTTCAGTTTAGAAGGTGCCTTCGGTAAACAGTCTGATTAAGTCACAATTTGTTAAAAATAACTAAACAAAGTTTATTGCCAACTGTCTGCTGAGGATAAGTCGTAGGACCAAAATAGTAGGGTAGGAAGGAAACGAGCGACGTCAACTAATTCTCCATACGTCTATACTGCCAACGCTTACTGAAGGCTCTGTTGACTGTGTCGAGGAAATGTGCATGCACCACAATTGCTAAATCGATCATAAATATGGGACTCGGAGATTTGATTAATAATTATGTGAAACATTATCAACATTCCTTAGTCTGTGCCCAATCTGGACACCGTCTACGCGGTTAGCTCACATTGCTCGGAGACCGATGTACTGCTCTACGCTGTCAACAATAATCGGTTGTATTGGCCCCAATCCCCTTACTTACAATTCTACAATTTCACAGGCCCCAAGGCCTCAAGGTATCAGCCCATAAATATAACCCAACTACTATCAGACTGCTCTGGTTTGCTTATTCACGCAGTAGCATGGCTTCAAGCCCTGGAACAAGTGGCGCTTGCAAATAATTGTGAAAGCATTGCCTAGAAGATCGGTCATGATTAATTTACAACTCATAAAACTACTGCTGATTGGTGTTCTGATTGCGTTGACTTGCTTATAGGCTTTCTCGGGCTTTGCTTACGCAATCGAATTTTTCGAATTTCCAACGGGTGGTTCAAATTTGACTAGAACGCAAGTTAAACAGGCCGTGGATTTGTTCTGCCAAAGAAAATGGAGTGAGGTATGTGATTCTGTTATGCCTTCAGTATATATCGACCTGAATTACGCAGATGATTCGGCTGATGAAAGCATCCGTTTCCTAAGGGACACGTGCATTGGGAATCAAGTCATTGTTTGCAAAATCTCAAGGCATCACACAGAAATTTACTATTCATTGTTGTTTACATTAACTAGATTAATTATCAAGTGAAACATGGTACATACTCTATGTAGTTAAACAGGACTACAGAAAATAAGAATTAAGCCATTGCGATGCGATAGCGAGAAAAATCTGGTAAATAATGTTTTCAGCTAGCCAGCCGAATGCCCTACTAGGCTTACTGAAAAGCAGCTGAAACATTTCTTTAAATGCAGCGTTTAAAATGCCTCCTTCCCATTTACCATAGTATAATTGAAGTATGTGATAAAATATCGGTGATGGAATAATTCATCCAAATTTCCCGTTGTTCACTTGAAGAACCCTCCATGTAGGCATCAGTAGAAACGACATAAATAAGAGCACAAAACTCTCATCCACGGCGGAAAAGACAATACTGAACGCAAGTAGATAAGGCAACAGATCAAAGGGTAGTCTGACTTCCCTGAGTGAAATGTCCAGGCTACTTGAATTGCTCCGGTATATTCCTTTTACCAAGCATTAAGGAATCTAGTTTCGTGATTAAGAGGCTAATAAAGTGAGTGCGCATTCGCTAATAGACAGGGTTAGGATACTGTAGGTAACTGATTCTTTATCTAGGTCGTTTGAGTAGATTAGACGTAGTGCCAGGACAACGACCGACACGTGGAATGTTCTGATTAAATGAACGTCTTAAAAGGCAAAAGACGGGGTCATTTCAAGTCGCTCAAATGTCCGTGAATACTTCCATGAAAAGGGGAGTTGACCGCCGGGATGCCCACTATACCATTGCCGCAACGGACGTCATTTAGATAGCGGGTATAAAAAGGCGACTGTCATAAAAGTTTTCATAAGCTACTCACTGGGCCGTAAACCAATTATTTTTCACTTCCAGATCACCATATTTAACAGAAAACTAAATTAGTAGGCAAAAAACTGAACAGAATTTTCCCTTTCGGCTTAAAGCCAAACTAAAGACAGAACGAGAAGACAGAACGATATTTGGTCGTGAACGTAAATAAATATGCTCATCGGATACCCTGAAGGCAGAATGGAGAAGAAACAAAAATCACTGTACGAGACAATTCTTACGATCTGGAGAGAGTAACATTACAAAAATGTCCTTTGGAATATGTCAGAAACTTATACCGCGATCCCAGAAAATGTTTACCTTGGCATTGCTGTGCCGGTGTAGTGGAAAGTAGAACAGACACCTTTGAATGTTTTGAGGTTCTTTTTTCCAATGGCCTATTAAGACGAGCAGAATATACATTTCTCCAGTTCCGATCACATCGAGTCAAATTGCGAAGTAACCATCATGCTAATAATCGGCAACGGGACTTAAAATTTGGTAACTTTCGACTCGGATGCTGACGCGACACTCAGCGAAAAACTTGAGAGCTACTAATTAGGTTAAGCAGGTGGTTGTGTGAGAAAGCCTCCTTGCACCTTCAGCTCCCCTCTCTGCCAGTATTTCTGGGATGAAGCGTAAACCCGAAATATCAGACAAATAGACTTCATGTTTCAGCCATTCGATCTTCTTTTTCTTCTTTTTCATTTTGTTGTTGTTTTTTGTTGTTGCTCTTTTTCTTCTTCTTCTTCTTCTTC